TCTTTATTATAGTTGCAGTGAATTAGGGTTCAGGTTAGGTTGAGAGGTCGATTAAGGGTTCAGGTTAGGCATCGGCATAGGCATAGCATAGTGATCGATTTAGGGATACATTAGTCGCGGCCATCGATAAAATAGTGGCATTCGTCCTCTCCATTTACCGTGGTAATAATCATTGGCTTGGAGAAATAATTATTACATGACAAGAACAACTAAATTTAAAGTTAACCTATTATTATTACTTTATTACTTACGCTTGTGATTTTCTTTGGCCTGTTGTCGTTGAAGACTTTGACTTGCGTTTAACGCCTTGTTTGCAACAGTGAATTATATATTCATATTTAAGGTGTTCCAAATTGGGATCTTTCATCTTCTCTGACGATCTTTTAGTGAAACACACATTGTGTTCTTTACAAAAATAATTCAATTCGTCTTAAAAAGACGCATAGGTGTCAAAATTGCTGCCAACCTCCATTTTTATAAAAGAAAGCGCGGAAAACTTGTCGATTATTAAGCCTCTCGTTCGGATCATGTTTTTTTTCGATTACTAAGACTTTCGGGTGCGAATAGTCATTGGCGATGATGGGTACTCGGGTACCTATAGCCACTTCGTATCCCCAATTCCGAAGAATTATCTTTTCCGCTCACTAATAGCAACGGGAGGTGCTTTACAGTAGTTCCAGTCAAATCGTCAGCAGAAATAACTTGTGACTTTGGGGTGGCGTGGGGTGGGGTTGCATTAAACAGGCGTGAATGAACTAGTAAAGATATATTTGTTTTAAATATATAACATAAAAGCTTTATAAAATCTCTTATAAATTACGGGGGAAGGGGGGGGGGGCAGCATGACCTCTGCGTAATGAGCACAAACCTATTTTATTTTGACTATATAGTATGTTAAGGAAAACGGGGCGTGAATTTATTTACTTCCCCAAAGATAATTATATTATAAGAACGGTTCTCAATATGTACCGTGAAAGACATCCGTCCTCCACATCTGATAGCAAGACTTTATTTCTGGGGCAGCAATGAAACTAATCATTAATGAAAGAGAGGCGCATTCTGGCTTCCATCGCCTTCAATGTCCTCACTCACCAGAGGGAATGTGTCCTACCAAGACCTTTTTTTAAAAAAAGTTCGTGAATAATTTTTATTATTTTGTATTGTATTTGGTGGAGAATCAGATTTAGCTGGGTTTTTTCCTCATTGTTTGGTAACATTTAAATAAATACGTTTAAATTTCCTGATGAAATATTAAACTTCTAAGTGCTCGCTATAAATAGCCAAGTTCAACCAGCTTGAAATCATGTCCGTGGCTCTAGCGCTCAGTTACCGTGACATCTTGGGAGCTTAACCCTTCGATGACGCTGACTTTGAAAGACTTCGCGTGCTTCAAGAAACCCCGAAAATCAGTTTTTGTCGTGGGAACTGATCTGTTTTGTCAGGGCTTCTGACGAGTTAACGCAGAAGGGCGAACTGACTGACGTCTCATCAGTGGCGTAGGAAGCGGTGGAGGGTGGGGGCGCGGTAGGCTTCGGGCGACCTTCTTTTCTTTTTCACCACGTGGAGGAGCGGCATTTTCGGGCAACTGAAGAGGTTGGGGTTTTTTTCAGGTAAGGGGAAAATATTGGCCCTCCTCTTGTGCAGTGTTCCTTTCGGGCATCTGTCCGGAGTGGGACACTACCCACCCCCGGAACAAGTTAAGTTTCCCTGGAGAAAAAAAATGTACAAACCAATTTTTTTTTAAATTAAAAAGGACTAAATTGTCTTTTTTATAACCGTTTTAAAAGAATAGTAAACCGTGCCTTTAATCGATTACAATTAGTGGAACCTATGAAATATCGCTGCACTCGATATTTTAGGCTAATCTTTTAGAGGCTTACATTATTTGATTATAAATATCTTACTGCCCGCTCCTGATTGTAAGCCGAAGTCTTACTTCTATTATTCGCATATATCGGATTTTTTTTTTTTCCAACTTGACAAGTTTAAAGAATTCATTAGCATTTTATTAAAATACATTTACATCAATATAAAGGTCTAAAATTTTAATAATAGTTCTTTCCAAGTATCAAATATGTTCAAGCTAGTTTGAGATGATATTTCATCATAAAAGCATGACTTTTAAAGTAGGGTAGCGTGTTTATTATAAATTGGATGATGGCAGTATGCTTAAAAAATATAGTTATTGGCACAATTTTAAATGTACTCAAATGTAATTAAATGTCATGTATGTTGAGCAGATAAAATGAAAACTTGAAAAACTAGTTGATGTATGTTTTTTTTACTTAAGAATAGCACAGGCGCATACAAATAGTGAACGTTTAATTAATCATTATTAAATCAAAAGCGTTTGTTTTGACTTTAAATGTGTTACTTTAGTAACACAGTTTCCTTAATAACAGAGTTAAAAAAAAAAAAATTAGCCTATATTTGTTAAATTCCTAACAGCTTTTGTCTTTTTTAAATATCAGAATATTAAAAAATTTTCCCACCTATTTGCATGCATTAGATAAAAATAATTTTAGTTGAGAATCTTGTCGAAATCTTAAAGATGCAATTTGTAACTTATCTAAAGAAAGTTATGTTTGAAATTCAAAATAAAAAATTTCAATCAAATGAATATTGAAAAATGTACACTTTATTTTTATAAGATTTTTCCTCAGATAAAATCACACACAAAAAATTAATAAAGTCTTTTTTTTTTTAAACAGCTCACATCTTCTTAAAATAATAATGCAGTTCATGTACGATTTATAAAAAGTTTCCATTTAAAATAAAAAGCCACATTACTTTTTAGTAACATAAAAAGATATTTGCGTAACACTGGCAGGTCAAGCAGAACCGTCGCTCGAGTTTTCCATGACCTCTACCACTCTTCAGTTTCGTCCTCCTCACCCTTGCATTGAAAGATGATACATTTTTTTTTGAAAAGTGTCCACAACATATCTTTAAGCCCCTAAAATACCCGAGACACCCTGCTGCAGTAGAGGTTTCTGAACTCACACGAGTGTTCTAAGGTTAAAAGACAACTAATTTTTTGTTTAACTGGGATCTCTTCCGTTGCCTTTCAATTAAGTGTAGAAAGTTTCAAAACTAAATTCAGCTTTGTGCTAAAATGCATTCTCGGATTTTGAATTCATCAAAAAATTTCTGAGGACTGTAAAGATTTAAGGGGCAAGAATAAGCTATGATAAAAGCATGCCCTCAAGGGCGACACAACTGGAATGAATTTAGTATATGTCCCACTGGTGCGGAGTTCGATATATCTTTGATCATTATTATGGCTAATTTTGGCGCTTCCCACTTGAAAGTTTGAAATGCGACCTCAAAATTGTCTGAAAGAAACAAAGAAGTCAAGTATGCACCAAAATGCAACCTGTATTTTGAATTTTCCCAACTATCTACATCATTCTCAATTTCTACAACCCCCCCCCCCTTTTTTTTTTCTCTCGGGCTGAATAATTTTTCAGTATGGTGTTGAATATAAGCGTGTGCCATATGACTATCAAAATTGTCTGAAAGAAACAAAGAAATCAATTATGCACCAAAATGCAACCTGTATTTTGAATTTTCCCAACCATCTACATCATTCTCAATTTCTACAACCCCCCCCCCCTTTTTTTTTTCTCTCGGGCTGAATAATTTTTCAGTATGGTGTTGAATATAAGCGTGTGCCATATGACTATCCTTGGAGTTTATGTATGCACTGGGTGCCATAATGACTCCCCCAAACCTTTAAACATTTCTTTCCACCTATCAAAAAATCGAATAGAAATATTGAATTAAACTATATTCCAAAATGCATCTCTTGATTTTGAAATAATCAAAAATGGTCCGCCCTCCTCCGCCCAAGATTCATCGGCGCCCTCAATTTCTTTCCTACTTCCTGATGAAAATGATCGCCAACTTTCCTTCCGATAGATACACTGCCTAGTAGCATATCTTAAGTTAGTGCCATCATATTAAGAAAAAGTGACGCCTGGTTGAGCCACCCTATCCACCAACTTTCCACGCCACTGGCAGTGGCGTAGCTAGGATGTTTGGCGTCAGGAGATAAGATTCATTTTTACCCCCCCCCCCAACCTCAATACCAAATCCCATTATTTTCAACAATTAAATACCATCAAATCCCATTTTGCCACCCCCACTACTCTGGTACCAGGGGACGTCTATCCCATCTGCCACCACTTAGCTACTCCTCTGGCACTGCTTACCAGGGGACGTATATCCCATCTGCCACCACTTAGCTACTCCTCTGGCACTGCGCCCCCCCCCCTAAAAAAAATTGACATGCCCCCTCCCCCCACACCGGAGGGTAGTATCTGAAAAATACCCAAAGAAACACTGCTCGGGTGGCGCTAACCCCAGCTACGTTTCGAGTGTCTCCCTTCATCAGTTACCATTAGAAACTTGCTCAAGCAGTTTGACTTATTAACCCCAAAAAATTCAGTGTCTTTAAAAGTGAGATACAGGTGTATTAATGACGTTTGTGTTGAAATTTAGAAACTGTAGATAATGCTAACAATACAGTAAATGTTTCTAATAAAACCTTTGGTAAATGCACCGAAAAAATAAAAAAACATCCCATATATATTATTTCATTAAGGCAATAAAATAAATGTGTTGATAAAAGTTTAATGATGATAACCGGCACTGTTATGCAGTGTGGAAGTGGTAGCTAAGTCCTAAGTTTTGTGATGCTCGAGGCTCTCCTTGACTTTGCAGCCACTTAACTAAAACATTCAGATTTCAGAATACGCATCGAACCGAAGACATGCATAGCATCCAGTTTGTACAAAATTTCCACCCTAGACCTAGAAAAAGTGCCACCATCAGGGGGAAAAAAAAAAGGGGGGGGGGGGGCCTCTAGTCAGTGCTCTAATGTACTGCGAGGTTTAGTTGGACTGTGGACCAAATAAATTTGGTTTATAAAAATAATAGTCACTTTTTAAATTGAACCTTAACAACCTATTCCGGGGTTAACCAAACAATGGAAAAATAGGAACTGAACTGTAACATTGATCGATTAATTACTTGTTTATGATGGCTTCTGCGTTGGAGGACAATGAAGTTCTTATGTACAGTGTTTTAGAATATGAAAAAAGGCCTGCACATATTTACCTTACTTCAACATACATTTTCATTGAGAATAGTGCCAGGCCAAGCTCTCACGATAATACATTGGATGCTCGGCCGAGTTCAAGTAAAAAAATCATTTCTTACTTACTAACTTAGTTATAGTTTTTAGCTCAATTTCATTTTATTTTATAGAGCTCTAAAACTTGTAATAAATAATATTTTTTAATGAAAATGGTATTATTTTGTGACATTGTATACTGAACGCTTCGCACCGGGATGAGTGAGTTCTCTTTTGTTTATTCTTGGATTGTTAAACTAAAGTACAATCACACTTCATTATTCAAAAATAAAAATAAATGTTTTAAAAATTCACAACTAATTAAAATTCAGTCTAGAAATAAACCTCAATATTGAAATTTGACGCTAGTAAGTTACATCTTCTTCAGAATACATACAGCACAACAGAAAATTAAACATCACTGTTAATTTAAGGTTGGAGGGCCTATATATATGTATGAAATAATTTTAAAAATTAATAAATTTATCATATATTTTCTAACACACACACACAGCTCCCCCCACCACTAGTGTCCAAAACAGTCACACTTTTTTAGACCTTCCCCCCCCCCTCCCAAATGTGACATACTTTATGGATGACCCCTTAGTTGCCTTAGTCTTTGTCAGAAAAATATCCAGTTTTGTATAACCTAAAATGATAATGATTCCTCCAGATTGTGCAAAATTCTAACTAAGTTGTGTCAGACAAGATTTCAGCTATGTGGTTATAACTCTTAATATCAAATTAATCCATGAATTGCAGTGCTTGGATACGTTACACACCATTTTACTGTGACCTTATTAAATATCTTGATGCTTCATAATTTTCATAACAATATCAATGTCATTATCATAGAAAAGGTGGGCTTTTAAGCCAGCAGACAAAATGAAGGAATGCTAGGACTTGTACCAGTTTTAAAGCTTCAGCCCAGTATTGAGGCTTGTGCAAAATGCACAACAAGTAATTAAATATAGTTTTTAAAATTATTCTCAAAACATGCAATAAACATTCAAATATATCTGATCAATCAAGTCCCCAAAATATGGAATTTGAGAGCCAATAAAAATGCTAGTCACATGTGCCATAATTTTTACTCCCCCATTGTACCAGCACAAAGTTATGTTCAATAAAGATGAAATCACCTATCTTCTCCAGCCTCCAAATAACTACACTATTTCCATGTATGATATATTTTGTAAAGTTTTGTGTAAATACGAAACTGTAAACTAGGGAACCAATTATCTGAATAATAGCATGACCCATATATGTCATATTACTTGGATGCCACTGCTACACAAACTGATTCAATGCATGTCCATTTCCCAACAATAACAGGTCTGAAAAACCATGTGATAGACTTAAGAGAAGTCATCACTGTGCGGGGAGAGCACAGATCACCACCAAAACCAAGAAAATTTATTTTAAGTTCACCCAGGAAACCATCTTTGCTACAGGAAGATAAGTCACCTGAAACAAACACATTTTCTATTTTCATGATAAATGTATGTATCATTTATATTTTGAGATATTGCGTCTATTACCTAACCAATTTTTGCCTTCTTGTTACTGAATATCTGGACACAAAGAAAAGTTTTTTGTCAAATGCTTGCACTAATTAAATGACATGTACACTCCTTTAAAATATATGGTTTTATGTCATTAGCTTTAATTTAAGTCACCGTGTTCACTATTAGTTAATTGTGTTTTGGACATCCTGTTTGAATTTATTGAAAGAGTGCCATACATTTTGTTTGCTGCCTCAATTTTTCTTTTAAGCTAGTTATTTTCATGTGTTTTGTCATACTGTTTGAGATGACATTGGTGCAGAGAACACAAATTTTTTAGTATCATATATGAACGCTTCAAATAAAAAGAGCTTTGATTATTTTTTATTTGTTCAGCGTGTTGCTAAACATAGATGGAGACATAAAGTTTGCCAGTTTGTTTGTCGAGATTATGGTACTTGTCAACTCTGGATAACAAAATTACTGGAGCTTTTACAAAATCCTGGTAAAATTCATATTTTTTTTTAGCTGCTAAGTTACTTTAAGAAAAAGAATCCTCTCTATAGACAGATTATATTCATTTTAAAATTAATTTGAAGTATGCAAAATTGAAAATAATATTTTGATAGTAAAAGGGTGTTTATAAATCTCTGCAGAGTGGCAACGTCCAAAAAGACTTCTTGTCTTTATTAATCCATTTGGCGGGAAAAGGAAAGGAGTTAAGATATTTAATGAAAAAGTTAGACCTTTATTTGAACTGGCTGGAATCTACTCAGAGGTCATCAGTAAGTTGTTTTGGTCCATCATTAGCTGTAACTTTAATAACGCTCTGAACTTTAATATGCTATGATATAGGACTACTGGATACAATTGAACCACTTATTAGGTCAACAATAATTATGAGTAATTTCTCTCCTTCTTTTATGAATACAAAAAGTATTATTAAAAGTGTCATTATTTTAGCCACTTATTCTATTACTTTGTGTAATTTACTGGTACTTCAATTAATGACGTTGCTTATTTAGAATTGTGTTTTTAAAAAGAATGACAAAATAAGAGTAAGGAAAGGAAAAACAGATTTGAGAGCCTGTGACAGATGAATTTTCCTAAAAGATAAATAAAACTGAAAGCAAAAGAATACAGTACTGACCTTGCTTACGATTGTATAACTTTTTAAGAAGAATGAATAACCTCAGTTAATTTCTGTTCATGACACAATTATTTAACTCCCAACTTTATCACTTTTCATTGTTTCAGTAACAAAGCGTCAGTACCATGCCAGAGATGTCATCTATGAATATGATCTACAAACTGTTGATGGGTTGGTGTTTATCAAGTTCATGAAATGATTATTTGTCTTGTTTATACAATAAAGTTGTTTATCTGAATTGTTTGTACAAGAAAACTGTTCATAAGACTTACTTGTAAATAAAGCTGTTTATTTGACTTGATTGTACAGGAAAGCTGTTTACTTGTCTTCTTTTTACTAGCACGCTGTTTATTTGACTTTCTTCTAGAAGAAATATGTTTATTTCACTTAATGATTGAAGAAAGTTGATCATTTACCTTGTTTGTACAAAAGAGCTGTTTATTTGATGTTTTTATAAGTAAGCTGATTCTTTGACCTGCTTGGGGACAAAAGCTGTTCTTTGGACTTATTTATGCAAGAAAGATGTTTATTAAATACTCTTTAAACAAAATATACTATTGTAAAATATTGTACAACCAGAATTATGTTAGCCCCTTAACTGGTGTTCATAAAGGTCTTACAGTATCTCATTGTTCCCAGGCTTGTTTGTGTCGGTGGAGATGGCACGTTCTCAGAACTTCTCAATGGCCTGCTTGACCGAGTCAATTCTGAGGGAGGGGTTGAGCAAACTTTTCGACACACACCAAAAAGTTCAGCATTGCGTATCGGCATCATACCAGCTGGTAAGAGGAAGAAACTGCTACTATTTCTAGTGAACTTTGTGTGGTGGCAATTTACTGTTTCTAAAGCGGAATGTTTACTGATAAACCTTTTAAATGTAAAGACACCGTATCTGCTCATCATTTGTTTTCATCAACAGGATCTACCGATGCCATTGTGTACTCACTTGTTGGGATCAATGACCCTGTCACATCAGCTCTGCAAATTATTTTAGGTTGGTTAAAAAAACACACAAAAATTCATTTAGTTTAAATTTCTTGGGCTGAATAATTTTAGATTAGAGTAAGTAATGTAATTTTCTTTTCTTTTTTTTTTTTTTTTTAATTGGTTTGTAAATATGGTTGTGATTTTTTCCATTGCTCAGGAGATTCTTTGGGCATGGATGTCACAGCTCTGTATAAAAAAGAACAGTTTGTTAAGTACACTGTTAGCATGTCAAGCTATGGTTACTATGGTGATCTTTTAAAGGAAAGTGAAACGCTTAGATGGATGGGCCCCAAGCGCTACACCTGGAGTGGTATGTCAGTTAACTTTGTCGTACCAACTTGCTTTGTCTGTGCATCTCATTCGTGGAATAAATGTTATTCTCGATGGCTTACTGTTTGCTCCGATCACTATTTTAATTACATACTGGCACAAAGCAGTTTTATTACATTGGAATGTTGTTATATATTTTACTTGCTAATTATTGCCAGGAAATTATTTCATCTTGATTGCTTTGATAATGTTTGTACTGTCTTGAGCTTTATGGTATCAAAGCTTAATTGTTCAATCTGTTTCTGTAGGTTTTAAGACTTTTTTAGCTAACAAGGCTTATGAAGGAGAAGTGTCTTTTCTGCTGGCATCTGAAGAGGACAGCCATCCACGAGATCAAACTGTCTGCTATTCAGGGTAAGATTTTCTCCACATTTTAATATAAATATAGTTGAATAAATCTCATTGAATTAGCTTATCTGTGGCGCGGTGCCATACCTCTTCTTACAATGTGGTCTTATTTAGAGTAAATATGTTAATTTAATAAGGAAAAGTTACGGTGATTGCCACATTTCAGTAGAGTTATCCATTGTGTTGACAGATGTGAGAAATGCAGGAAGTCAGCCATGGAAGGCCAGCAAGTGGTGTCCGTAAAGGAGCCCCAGCCTGAGTTTGATTTAGGTGGTGCCAGTGAACCAATCTTGTTCAGTGCAGTCAGTAAAAGAGCCAGTTTTATGAGTGAGTCTCATAGCTTACGTTAGCAGATTCTATCTTTGTGAAGTTTAAGGGGAGGTGCGGGTGAGAAATTGACGAAAATGGCAAATTTTGAATAATTTTTTATTATTAGTTATTTGGTTTTATTAACCATTTCTCTATTACATTTTTATATTTGTTTTTATAAAAGTAAGTTAGAAAATATAATAAATTACAAATTTCCTGACCCTATCAATCAGAAAAATGTCAAAATTGTCCTATTTTTAGTGTTTTTACCCCTTTGTTATGAGTATTTGGAATCGCCCAATCCCTATGTCTTTGGCATGGTTGGAAAGATGGTGATTTCGGGGTCAAGATAAATATAGCTTATGATCACAAAGAAAACTACAAAAGCAACCGAACCTTTCGATCGCCGGTAATGTCTAGCAAAATTTGGTATTTTCCTGTCCTACTTCGTGTATCACGTGATCAAACCCTGACCTTTGAATAAAATAAGCATTTTGATTGGTTCCTATGTAGGAAATCTGTTTATAAAGGTCACTTCCGGTATAAACAAAACCGTATCTAATTTCGTGAGGCCTAGCAAGTTCGATATGTAATTTGTCGGTAATAAATTCATTTGAGGAGTTAAAAAACAACTAAATAAGTAAATAACCACACAAAATGAGTTGGCTTTGATTAATTGCCATAATAAACATGATTAATGCTTCTCCTTTTCGGAGAAGACCAAGACTGAGTACACTAAACTACTAAGACTAAGCCTACTCCTAGTGCCTAGTGCTAGTCGCTTCAAGTTCAAGCATCGCTACGCTACTTTACCAGCAGGAAAAACATAGAAAAATACTATGCCTTGGTAAGTCTTAAAAATCTATTTTTCATTTAGATTCAAATTTAAAGTACGGTATCAATTATTTATAAGGCTAAGCCTATACTGTGCTCACTATACAACATTGAATGAGGGCTATACTTATACTTTATTATTATTATATTAGTAATAAACACTGTTACTTTTGTGATAGTGAACTGTAGTAAAAATAAAACCTATAAACAATTTATGAATTTAGTTATTGTGACATTTGTCTTACACTGTCCTATATTTATAGCTATTAAAATGGTAATATGAAATTAAATGTAATAAATTTCTCTTTTTTTTTATTGCATCGCAAATAACATTGTCATTAGTGTTATTTTATTTTAAAGTAAAGTAAGAGTAAGAGCCCTAACAAATTTTGCTTGAAATACGTGTCAACAAGTATGACCTATCAGTCATTAATTTCATTATAGCCTTATATTTTTATTGAGAAGCATTTAATAAAAATATCTAAATACAAGTTTATTGTTTTCAGGAATCATTGAGGAGACGCGCAATGAGGTTGCGGAACACAACAAACCACAACATGCATTATATTTCCTGTTGATAAACTACACTGATCTGTTGTGCCTAGGTCCATTTAGCCCAAAGGACAATATGCACATGAAAAAGAAGGAGTGCCCTAAGTGTATTCCAATGTTTCAGATTCCTCGGCGCAACATATGTTCGATGCATCGAAATAAAACTACGGTAACCTCAGGCAGAGGATGCAAGAGAAGACTAACACAGATTACATCACAAAACTCATTACGTGTTATTCAAGGACAAAAAGAATAAGACAGTAGTTGAAAGAAACATATCAATATTTCCCTTATTTTAACATTGTATCTCTCTGCGATGTGATTTTCAACATGACGAGTGTCAAAATTTGATACAGTAACTAATTAGATTTTACAATGGAGTTATTGCTCATGAGTTTTCTGGCTCACACAAAAAACAGTTAATATGCTTTTGTGGAAAAATACATGTTGCAACTCAAGTGATTCAAAAGTTGTGAGATAGAAATCAGAAAATTTACAACTGTCAATATTCATTCCGTCATTAGAACTCATAGAACTTACAATTTTTTCTTTACAAGAATAAGAGTTGCATTTTCAGCATTCATGGACAATGCCAAATAACTCTTTGGAATTGCATATTTACCTAGCTTAATTTTATGATTTTGCACACTTTTATAATGCTGAAATTCTCCAAAATAAGCGAATTATTATTTTTTCGACAAATACAGAGTAATAGATAAAAATATATCAATCACAGAGAAAAGTTGAGTGGTCAGGAAAAAAGAAAAATGGACTTGGAAAATGATTAAAAATGTCCACAATAGGCTAATAAAAAGTTTTTATTCCAATCTTGGTAAAAGATTCTTATTTTTCATTGATATTTTCATTGTTTTTGTCGTTTTTCTTCGTTATTTCAGTTTTCTTGTTTTCACTATTTTCGGTCACTAATATCCCTATAACTTTTTTATTTATTATCCAAACCTCACCAAATTTTCACAGTATGTTCAGTGGCCAATAATAAACATTTGAATAACCTAGAATTAAGATATCTATCTTAGAAAAGAAAAAATGTAAAAAAGAATTCACCCACACCCCTATTTTTTGCATAAAAAATGGGGTCACAATTTCTGACCCTGTAAATTTATAACCAGTCATTACATCAAAAAGTCCTGTTATACAAAGTTTTATTATAGGTTAAATAATCTATGTTTAAAATCTGATAGCAATAACTTAATATTTGTAAAAGCCTTAGTGTTTTAAAACACACTAAAAAAATAAAAATGGCGGAGGTTTTTATGGGCTACAAAGGCAACCAATGGAAATTTTTTTTTTTTAAAACCTGTTTTGTACCTCCATTACAATACCAAATAAGGTGTAGTTTAAAAAAATCCTATATGAAGCCAAACAAAAATTTTAGATTTTTCACCCACACCTCCCCTTAACTGCTTTGAAAAGCCCGAGCTGTGCTTGAAAATCAACAAACAACAACAAAGAACTTAAGGCTTACAAAGTGAAAATAAATTACTAGTAAAGAAAACATTTTTTTTTTATGCTAAATAAATCCAAAGAAATTAAAATAGTCTATATTTAATAAATCAGTAAATAAAAAATATGAACAAAATATTAAATTTTAAAAAAAAACAACAAAGCCAGGTTTTTTGTGATAGAAAAGATATTTTAATTCATCTTTCCGCTTTATTACATCATTAATAGTTTACAGAGGCTTGTTTGTTAACTTGTGCCATTGCAACTGTTTCAGTGAAAGATGGCTGGCACCATGTCAAGGGCAGATTCAGTGCCATCAACTTGGTAACCATAAGTTGCCGCTGTGACCTGACACCAATCGGCATGTCACCAGCCTCACACCTTGGAGATGGGTGCATGGACCTGATTCTCATACAAGACTGTTCCAGGTTACAGTACCTCCGCCACCTGGTCAGGATACCTGACAGCAAATCTGACCAGGTAAGTAAGAGAGAATTTTTTATTCTTCATTTCAGCATCTTTAATGAATTATTTCTTTACAACATTCTCATAGGGTTGTGTTTTATCACAGCTATGAAAATGCAATAAGATAATAGTTCTTTAAAAAAATTTTTTTCATAATCCTTGAATAAAAATGCTGCAACAAATCTTATGCCCCTTTCCTAATCGGTTAATGTATATTTCAAGTAATATAACATCTTTGCCACAAGTGGCACAGGGCATATTTCTAGGCATGCATTTATTTAGAAATGGTCAAAAGTGCTATCTTTTAGAAATACAGAGAGGGGGNCAGGCTCAAAACTCCTAGTGTTAGGCATACTGATATTTGTGGGCAAACAACAATAATTCAATAATTGCTTTTTTTTTTTTTGTATGTTAATTGGAACTGCTGTATAACATTAAGTGATAAAACAATGGGTCTGTCTGCCTCAGTTTGACTTTGACTTCATTCAAGTCTACCGCGTGAAAGAGTTCAGTTTTCAACCAATCACAGAGCCTGAGGATGCTGATGAGGGGGAGGGGCAAGAGAGGGGTGGGTGTGGCCGAAGAAAAGCAGGTCACACTCAAATGAAGAACAGCTCCAGTGCTCACAGTGTGTGGAATTGTGATGGTGAACTGCTGGATTACCCATCACTTTATGCCCAGTAAGTCAATAAAGTTCTCAAATTACTTATTCACTTGCTTTGAACGTTGAACATAATCAATCATGACATGAACTGGCTTTTAAAAATAAAAAAAAAAAACGCATATTATTTTGTATTAACTTTGCATTGTGATTATATATATATAATTCGCCAGCAAAGGTCAAACACCAACACGGTTCAAACACCACGCAGGCTATTTATAGATACGCCAGAGTGTGGCTCAATCATGAGTTCACTAGCGCGCAAAATATAATTCCCGATAACTACGCTATATATTATATATAATTTTTTTTTATAATGCAATTGCGTTCGATGCATAATATTTTCTTTTCGGAAATGAAATCGTCTCAATTTAAGTATTGTGTAAAAAAATTCCGTTTAAAAGGGGTTGGGACATGAGAATATTAATATAGTTCATGGGCGTGAAATAAAAAGTGTGTAGTGACGTATCATGAAAAAAAGGGAGGGGGGGAGGGCTGTAGCAAAATTGGCATTCTTAAATGTGCGTAACTTGAGTTCACATTTTTGTCAAGTAACTTTAGTTGATGGGAAGTTCACGCATTGCTGTTTGCCAATGTTTGGTGGGCTCCATCTAGTTCTGTTATAATACGGTATCTGAAATCTATGGTTTAATTTTTTTGAAATGGGGATATTGATTGATTTTCCTTTATTTGCTTCATATTTGGTTTTACAGCCAATTATTGCACTGTCAACATGAGAATATTTGTCTTGAAATTCTTAACAGAACATAATGATATGATTTTACTTGATATAATTTTATGAGACATTAGGGTACACTGTATGGAAGATAATGATAACTTAATATCATTATCTTCCATACAGTGTAACCTAAAGTTTTCTATTTGATTTTTTTAAAATGTATGTTGAAATAATGACTACTATGAAAATAATGTTTAAAAACTTGTTTGACTAAAGTCGTATCCATTTTTTATCTGACCCCCAGTGTCCACTGTCAGTTGATCAAATTGTTTGCTAGAGGTGTCGAAGAGTGTAATAAAGAAGACAGCATGCAGTGTCCGGCGTGTTGCTCAGCCTACGACAGTGACAAATGACGTCAGATGATGGCAGCCAGTTCAGATGAGCCTGACATGTAAAAGGTCCTATTCAGCATGCTAGACTCAATCACTGCAATGAAATCAGGGACACAAATTTAAATTTCACTGTTGTGATGAGGGACATGGATAGTTTTGAATAGTTCCCACACTGCAGTGACATAATAGATGAACATACAATAAGTCCTCCCTGATACATGTGTGCCTTTCTCTGCTAGCTTTACCAACACATCTGTGAACATATCATGGAGGTTTTTTTTTAATCATGAGGTTTTTTTTTTAATTGAAAATTGTTTGAAGGTCATAATTAAGTTCTATGACATATTGTGTCATAATTATTTGACTTGACTAACACACTGTCTGACTGATAGTTTCAGGTCTGTACTGTAAAACCTGCTGGTTAGTTTCTGACTGTGCTGTAAAAACTGACTGATAGTTTCTGGCTGTACGGTAACACTAAGCTTTAGTTGCTCAGCTGAACTATGGCTTTAAAAGCCCCTTTAAAAGACTCCACTGTCACAAAATTCAGTTTTGTTGAAATTTTCTTCAGAATTTGCACTTTGTATATTCAATATTTTCATATACTCTCTTTTTGTCTAAATATACATGACTTTTTATCTCTTGAAATAATTTCAATTTTAAATTATTATTCACTAAGTAATCCTAACAAAAAACCCCTTTGACTTCTTGATTTTGTTGTCAAAATGTTATGTGCTATCATTGTATCAAAGTAACTGGCCATCAATATATCTGGCCAACATCTGGTCAACAATATCTGGTCAACAATATATCTGGCCAATAATATATCTGGCATATTTAACTCTCAAGGACACTGCCTTAAATAAAATAAAAGATTTTGGGGGTGTGGGGATTCAGTCATGAAAATAAACAATTTCTTGTTAAGTTTAAACTGAATACATGTGTAATATGTGTACACCAAGGACTAATGACATGAGATTTGCATACTTTACATGTCCCAGAAAAGTGGCATTGCTTCTGTACCAGCCAACTATCATTGTGGGGCACTAAACATATAGCCTATCTTTAGTCCAATGGGAGTTTTTTTATATCTTAGATTTTCTTACTAATGGTTACTAATGTCTTGAACTGAGTGACATTAAAAAACAAAATCAGTGCTATATTAAAAAAAAACAAAAAAACCAATAATTGTATTTTTTCTAAATCATTTATAATTTATTGCTGAGCAATGAATTTTAGAATTGAAATTTACACTGGCATTTTATAAGTTGCACTCTATCAACGAAATTTGTGTAAATGAAATTTTTACTTTATTTCATAAGAGGATGAGAAAAAAATAAGTCAGACCCAGGAAAGCCAATTTGTAAATAGCATTATTAGATTGTTTGTTGACAAGTGTATAACCCACCTAAAATTGACCACAACAAGAGACATGGTAAAAAACTTACAGCAAAATGTAATGACTAACGTAGGTAAACAACTTGTATCAAAATTTTGTGAGATGTAGCTACTACTAACGCAGGTTAAAAACTTCTTGATCTAATTTATCTAAATGATGTGATAAAAAATATTTAAATTAATTTATTTTACCTAGTGATGATTATGCCATCAATGTTGTTTGTTATGGAACATGATGACTTTCTAAAGCAGCCGGATTTGGGTAATTTAATCATAAAATTTACACAATACATTTATAAGCCCGGTGGCCATTTGTGTGATGAGTTTTTTGTTTGTCAATGACCATTGGTAAGTGCTGCCAAATTTCCATGTGCAATATACAACTGGATCAAACCGTGTACAATATTTTAATTTATTAATAAGATCTCTTCATTTGAAATGTCCAACTAAATGAGGTAAAACATTATTTTTTTCTGGATAATAATAAAACAATAATTTATTTTTTAATATTGAATGTACATTATTTACTTTGAATGAAATTAATTTGACATGAATGATTATTTTCTCTTTTGTTTTTGTGTGGAAACATTTTACATTTTATTCAAAGCAAAATGTATTATTATTAACCGATTTCACAAGTCACCCCTGCAAGCAAAAATAGATGTTTGTTTCAAGATATCAAATTAATTCAATTCAATTTGCTATCTATTTATGACCAAGCAAAAATGTGTTACTGTTAGATTTTTTCAGAAAAACGCGAATAAATTAAAATAGGTCATTCCAAAATTATTGTGTGTTTAAGAAATAGTTGACCCAATCAATAAAATGAATTTTAATATTTAGAACAAAACTAAACAAATCCGATTCATTTTAGTTTGAAGCAAAGCTATAATAGCTATTAAATTTTTCTACATTTGAATAGTTCCCAACTCAATAACATTTTTGAACAAAATTTCTTTTATGTATAAAAATAAACATATCAGTGAAATTTTAATTTATTAGATTTAAGTTTTTTTTTTATTTCAAGATATATGTGTTGATTTGTGTCATTTATCTGCAAGGATTGTTTTAGATTCATATTTTATAATGATGGTTTCTTAAATTAACTGTATCCTAATATGTTTTTAAAGTGATTATATTCAAGAATCTTGATCAAAGAATTGTATTTAATGTAAATAGTTTATTTTACTGCTTGCTGATTAGAATAGAAATGCATTTCAGTAATTAAAACAATGGTTTCCAATATTTTAAAATTAAAATTAGCTGCATTTAGTGGAATTGCCAATTAAGTTTGTATGTAAAATATGATGTAATGCAGGTAATTCTGCATGGTGAAGAATTTTAGATGTTTTGTGACATTCTGGATATAAGACTACATCAAACATTATTATTTATGAGCTTCAGTTATGTACAAGTTTCTTTGGTTATATTGTATCTCAAATTGTCTTCAAAAGTAGAGAAGGATGAAAATTGTTTGTAATTCTTTTTTGAAAAAGGTCTGTGGAACAATGTGTTATAGGACATATATCTCAGTGCTATGTTACTCTTGACCAGCTCCATGTTCAGTTGTTTAAATGTTGATGTTTAATTTCCCACCACATAAAATAAATATCAAATATTGTCCCACAGGGCAAAGCATTCCCAACTCACATTCTCTATTTATACAATGCTATTGTTAACACACTGAAAGCTACATGTGTTTATGTGTAGCCATGCACTATTGGCAGTCAATGGAAGACTGGATTTTTTTTCAAGGTCACAAATTAAAATATTATAAGAAAAATCTTGTAATCATATTTTTGTTCTTTCAACTCAATTTAAAAAATGTATTTTTAAATTTTTGACATTGTACAGGAAGACACAACATTTGAACTAGGATTGATACAAGTTAAATTAAAAAATGGTTCCTATTTGGTTTTAATTTTTCTGAAAAATACCTGTTATATATCTGTTTCAAAGCCAGATTTTTTAGTAAATCTATACACGAGAGCTATCTTTGCCTGTTACTATGTTCATTAAAGCAACAGAATAATCATAATTATGTTTAATCAGAGACTCCCATGTTTTTTTGTTCATCCCAGATTGGCGCAATGTAGATCAATGATTTCTAAACTAGGTGGTCATGCACTTGTCATGCTTCTCTAGGGGCACACATACTAGTTCAAAAGCATTTTGATACATGTGTTGCCATTTCAATTTAAGATAAGCATGGTGTCAATTAATTATTTTTATAAATAGCATACACATAATGTTTGGAAGCCACCAATGTACATGATCAGTTGACCACTTCAAGTTTCTTATATATTTTTAGCTACATTTGTTTTCTTTTTCCATTTCTTTAAATTTAAATAAAGATGGAAGTCATATAAGATTTCAGAGAAATTTTTGGTCTATTATTGGTTTTAAAAGTTGAGTAGATTTTTCATTTCTATACAGTATCACCATTTGGTCTGAGAGTGGTTTACTATTCTAGCAAACATAATTTTTGCTAACATTTGCATAACCAATTTTTCCCAAATATATGTTGCCTACCTCTTCAACACCTCTTTTCCCATTAATCCCCACTGTAATAGCTGTTGAAATCTAATAACACAGTGCAAGGAAACACAGACAATGTGTACTGTTTAACAAGCAAAATTTATTTCTAAGAGCTTTTGATGGAATTTGAAATTGTAAGTTGTTAGTATCTGCCTTACAATTAAATACAAGTAGCAGAAATCGTACAACAGTTTCCTTGATTTTTAAAAATTCAGTAGTTAAATATATGTTAGATATTGGTCTTTTTGTAACAGACATGTTAATTTAAAGTGAAGAAATCGGTAATCATTTCAAAGTCACCCACTTGACTTGTTCTTCATACAATATAAAATTTACACGTACAAATTTCAATTAACTAAGTGTAACACAAATTTAATTAAACACTAAAATTTGAATCATCTATAGTTCTTATTCTGCTATTGTTGACATTAGAAGATGACATTTTAATTTTAACATAACTCTTATTGTTTTGAAGTGTTAACTAAATTTCCTATCTGATATTTAAAAAAAATATTAATAATTTTTAAACCAATAAATCACAGGAGCATGTACAAGGCGTTAATTGTCTGGAAAAATGCAGAAAATATTGGAGGTCAGGTTTTGGTGAAGGCAAAATATCTATTCAGGTATTGCACCAAGTCCATCAGAAAAAAATTGTCTTGTTTGAAAAATGCTTTTTTACTGATGATGAAAAGCCACTGATAATGCTTTTCTTAGTTTTATCAAGCAAGAGAAAATGCTTAAATTTTTGTTGTAATGCAACAAAAGTTGCTTGAAAAATATTACAACATGGTAGAAAGACATTTGAATGAACAAAGAAAAAGAACTAAATTAATTGGGGAAAACATAAAATTAAATAATATTGTGACAAATGATTTAGCTGTTGAAATATTTTACAGCTAACAAATTATTGTTTTCCAAGAAATCTTCCCCTCTGCTTGGACTAAAATATTTTTGGAGAAAGTCAAGTTAAAATAAGAGTTAAAAATGGAAATTAATTTGTCTTTCAAATCTACACAAGGAAATTTTACAACAGAATTCTGAATGATAGATGTGTGAAATAATGAGCTCTCTTATCCTCATTTCTTTGAACAGAATGAAGTTTAAATGAACTTTTCATTTCTAAAATTATATGATTCTAAAACTGGGATTGAGTGAGTAATGTACCTAAAGACTAATATTAATAGATAACTATGAAATCAGAAACCTGTCAAATAGTTGTATAAATTAACCACCAAAATTTCTGTGTCAAATAAAATGTGAAGATGATAAAAACTGTAAGACACAACTCTTTAAAAACACAACACAAGGTACATCTCCCATCAATTCAATACATTTTGGATTCATTTCAGTATTCTATCCACATTCCCAACAATGTACAAGATTTTGAAAAAAATAATTGAAGTGAATTTTAAAATAAAAGTTTTAGGTACTTTGTGCTGTAATGCAAATGATAGCAGTAGAGTGACAGACTTTTAAGTTGTTTATTAACTTTAAAAAGAACTGCGACAAAAGTTAGATTAATAAAGCTTAGAAAGCTGAGCACCAAAGATGCAGTTTAAATTTAAAATAAAATGGCCAAGCACCAAGCCAAAGAAAACATTACCCTTGCCTGACTCTTACTGACACGAATTGTAGACCAAAACTAGAAGTGACATGTTTAGAGGAATCTAACAAAATTATATAAATTACAAACGCTTTTTATACAATTTATACAACACTTATAAAAAGAATTGAGGCATAACAACTAAGCAAATTTCAGAGGAATAAGTTTGCCCAACAAATATTTGATATTACTTGGAATCTAATTAAACTGCCATTTTTAAACAAAGAAAATGCAATACATGTATAACTAACATGATCTCTCTGCTCTAAAAAAAACAATGAGTTCACACAAAACTAAAGGAAACAATCTTACAATAAAATGTTAGAGCCCATTCAAAGGTACATCAACATACTGAAATGAACATTGTGTTAGCACTTAGAAATCACCAGCACCATGTTCTCAATATCATTTTTCTGAGAAATCACCAGCACCATGTTCTCAATATCATTTTTCTAACATAGTAATAGTTCAATCAGAAATTAATAGTTGAGGTGCAACACTGTTTTAATAGTTATAATAGATAAGACGCACCATAAAATTTGAATAGCTAAACAATACACCAGAGGTTACATCCCAACCCACATTCAAGAATAAACTATTGTCTATGTTTAGTATTTTTCCCCCCACTCCTTTAAATATCTGTGCCAACTGTGTAGCAAAATAAAAAAGTTTTGAAGCTGAATAATATATAAATTACAATCAAAATCACAATTGTTTTTGTTAAAAAGGCATTCATGAGAAATAAGTTAAAAGGTAGCAATGTAATTTACAAAAGCAAATTTATGTGTGGTGAATTTCGTTTGTAGGAAAGCAATATGAAAATTTTAAGCTGTAATAAATTGATTTAAAAATGTGTCTAAAACTATGCAATAGCTGGCATAAATCTCATATTAACAGCAACATATACATATCATGCAATATTGTAGTTTAATTATTTTACTACTATATAGGCATCAATTTATATTATATAATACTTTCTTCGTAAAAAACTTTATCCAAAAATATTAGTTTTGTAAAAAAAAAAATATCTGGAAAATATAAGATTTTAATTGATTGTCACAGTGCTTTCAAAAGCTGACGAGGTATTGACTAAATGATAGGAAAACAAGTCATTTTCACTTGTTGCTTTCAAAGCATTACTTACCAAACTGAATGATCATTGCACAAATATTAAAACAAGTTCTAGATTGACAATTTGTTTTAACTAACAAGATATTTTTAGCAGATAAAAAAATTGAAGATTAAAGATATCCGAAAAAGATATAATTTTGAGAAATTTTCATAGCGTACAATGTGAATTATTTATTTAGGTTATGCAATTGTGACGAGTTGGATTTTTATGAGTTTTATTTCAAAAATACTTAAGTGCCTTTTGTTTTATCCATTTTTATTAGGGCAAAATCTTTAATCATTCAAGGTGGAAAATTGTTTTTTACATTTTAACTGCCTGCGGAAGCTGAATTTAAAGAAGGAAATTAATTAAAAGATAATTACAGTAGAGCGTTGATTTTCCGAAAGCCGACGATCCGAAAGTCAGGTTAACCGAACTGCCAGTGTTTTTTTATTATTATAATATCATTGCAAGGAGCCATTTGCATAAAAAAAACACTAGAAAATGATGCTGGCTCCTGTCGCACAAGCAAGATTAAGTCTAGATGCCTATTGTACATGCAGTGACCAAACTGGCATAATGCAATCTGCAAACTTTTTTACTAACATATATTGCAGATTACCGACTTCAAAGAAAAAGTGACATGGAATTTTATTTAAGCGACAGTCATCGCTT